AACATCATAACTCAAATGTATAAATTCTTCCAAGGTCTTCCTTATTCTTAATTCTTTAGTCTCACAAGCTGATGAGACTATTGAAACCTCCATGGCTTGGATCAAGCGCACTTTAATCCTCAAACTGACTTTTTTTTTTTTCACATAGCATTTATTTTTAGTCACAAAATTATAACTTTTATAATTAATTGAGTTTGCCATACTTCATTTATTAAAGTTATCATGAGACAGTCAAAATGGAAAATGGATACCCACTTTTCCCAAATTTTATATTCAGACTGAGCCTCAGAATAACATTCATAGGGACCTTAGAAGTTATATTCTCTCAGAAAATTATCTCTGTATAATAATAACTTTATCTTGTGTTTACCCTTTTTTTTTTTTTTTTTTAAACAAAGTAATCTGAACAGTGTTCTGGTGTGTGTTGCAAAGTTGTACTTAACTGAGTGATAGTTTACATGGGAGAACATTGGCTTTATACCATCGTTTCATTACAATGATTACAATCTCCTCTGTGCATCATTATTCAGCAGTATTTACTTCCATTCCCTCTGCATTTTTTTTTTTTGTTTTTTTTTTGGGGGGGAGGTGAGGGGTATACACAAAAACACTCAGGAATATGTAATAATTTATACAACAAAAGGGCACATTCTGCAAGCCTGCTGCCTGGCTGCCAGGACTCAGTCCTTCTCTTACTATGAGTCTAGAGTCCTCTACTGCTCCTTCTCTCCTTGTCTTCATCTCTGTCTCCATCTCTGGTGTCGCTTCTTCTCTGGATAGGGACCCACACTCCACTTCTGCTCTTCTCCCTTGATGGTCCTAAGGTCCTTTGTTTCTGGACTGTAAGATTAACTACTCTCCCATTTTTGTTACAAAACTTCTCCCTTTATTATTGTCCCAATAGCAATTAGTCATGATAACAATCATTCCCTATTGAATCATTAGAACCTTATCCCTATCTGTTTTCACCAGACCCATCTAGACAAGAGGGAAACTATTCATTGGGGACTCTGCTTTCCACTACACACTCTTAAACTAAATTCCCACTTGAAAACTTGTAAGCCAGTCACTTCATGACTTTATCGCCCCCTCATTTTAGGTAGCCAATGTCTAAGTTGCCCGTCACTATCTACCCTGTATCCAGAGGGGATAGGATTGATACTTGATGTGAAGACTCCTTCCTCTTAGTTGGTATTTTGAGCTACTACATCCATAAGTATAGGTCAAGTTCATCAAATTATAGCATTTTACACTTGTTTCCTTTATCAAAAAATGTTTTTGTTTTTTTTTAATCTTCCTCTAGTCGAGTTCTCATTATCCAGGCTTAGTCAAATGTGTACTATCTGCAAGTCTGGGTGTTTTTGTGCATCACCTCTCACTTCATATCAGCTGGATGCTTTACTGTTAGCTCTAGCCCTCCGTGGCTATGTCCTTGTCCATGGGCTCATGAGTCCCCAGGTCTCACCACACTTTGGACCAACCAGCCCTTCCTCTTCTCTCTCTCATCTCCAGGTCAACAGGAGTCTAAGGCATGTAGTTGAACTCACCCCCTTTTCTACTCATCAGTAGACCAACGTGGTCGCCAGCAAGCTTACATGCATGTTCATGTGTTCCCTTTGAGTTTCAGTCTTGGAGGGAGGGTTGTCCTGAAGGGACTTGATTGCTTACCTTGATGGAGCTCAGGTGAACAAGTTACTTGTTCTTGTAGTAGACAGTCAAACTGCCATTTTTGTTTTAGGTTTTTTTCCCTGCTGATCTGTCTTTGAAGATGTATCTTCTGTTGCTCTAGCTGTTCCAGGTTGGCCTGCTTGTCCTTTCTAGTGTGAATGTCCCACATCAGGAGGTTCTGGATAGGGCTCAGGATTCCACTTAGGGTTCTATACACTGCAAAGGCTCCACAAGAGGCCTATTTCATTGAGCAAGTTCTAGAACCCTTTGTACGTATTCCAGTCAGTTATAGACTGAAGACAGGCTTACAGCTTTCTGTAATGATGTTTCTGGACATTCTTTCTATCCCACTCAAGTGTCTATTTTCCTCTATTATTTTTGCCCCTTGTCATTTTTCTTTACTACCTTCTATTCTCTTTCCAAAGAGTAGTGGCCCAACGGAATATGGAAATCATTGAACATTATTATTATTATTATCACAAGCAAGTAAAATTTTGCTGAAGATACTTTTCAAATAGCTGCAACAGTACATTGAAAGAGAACTTCCAGAAATTCAAGTCAGATTCAGAAAAGGACGTGAAACTAGGGATATCATAGCTGATGTCAGATGGCTCTTGGCTAAATGCAGAGAATTCCAGAATGTAAAACTAATGATATGCTCTGTAAACCTACAATCAATCCAAAATAAAGTTAATAAAAAAATAAGAGGAGAAGAGATACAGAAACAGACAAGGGAGAATGTAATGAGACACTGGAGGCAAAGATTGGAGTGATGCATCTATAAGCCAAGGATTGCCAACAACCAATCCTCGTTGCTAGGAAGAAGCAAGAAAGAATCTTTTCTTAGAACCTTCTGAAGGAGCACAGGGCAGCTGACACCATGATTTAGGACTTCTGGTCTCCATAAGTATGTGGAAATAAAGTTCTGTGGTATTAAGCAATCCAATTTATGGTACTTCATTGCAGCAGTCCTAGGAAACAAATCCTTTCTCTTTCCTTGCCTCCTATGAAAAAAATACATTTCTGACCTCCCAACCTGGGAAAGAGGCACGAGTAAACTTAGTTTTTACTCCTACCAAAAAAAAGAGAAAAAAACTTCTCTGAGAAGTTTTACTCAACTATAGGGTTTTGATAAGTTAGAATCTACTCGACAGACGTGAGTTTGAAATTTTTGTTTATAGTAGCGTAGTGGTTACCAATCGGGCTGCGAACCATAAGGTCAGCAGTTCGAAACTACCAGCGGTTCCGCGGGAGAAAGATGAGGCGTTCTGCTCCCGTAAAGATTAACAGCCTCGGAAACCCTGTGCAGGGTCGCTATGAGTCGGAACCGACTCCACGGCACATAACAACAACAACAACAACAGTACGAGACTAGCTTTTGTATGAGTCAGAGTAGTGAATTGAATGGAGACTTTTACCTCAATGCTCTTTAGATTTTTAGGTGGTAACACTAATCTCTGCAAACCTCCTCCCGAGGTTCAATTTTGCTATTGACTACATTCCTTGGCTGGTATTGAGGCCAAATAATGTGGCTGGTAGATTTCCAAGTACAGGGAGAATGCTTGATCAAGAACTCCAGTTGGTGCACCATGAGATAGATCATCACATTGATTCCAAGGTCACATTTTACACAGGCTTCCCCCATGTTAGTGACTGAGTATGGTAGGGGTTTCTAAGGCAGATCTGTTGTTGGTAATCAGGATACTATAGGCTGGCCTTGGTTTGAGGATTCCCTAATAGCTTTGATGAAACTTCCTTAGGTTGTATGGTAGTCTAAGATGCTTCTAATCAATTTTTATACCTTTTCTTTAACTTGACATTAGATTCACATTGTAGTCTGACAGCCTTCTCATTTTTCCTTAGCTCCCTCACCATTTTCTCTGACAGGCATTTCCCCCTAATAAAGCCTTTACATGCATAGCCTAATCTTGACATCTGGTTCTTGTAGAAACCTGAATAACACAGCTAGAGGGAGGCATTTTGAGACACTACAAATGAAGGAACTAGCAATAGGCTAATTGCGATTCCAATTTATACATTTGGGGATTGAAGAGAAGACCAATGGCTATGTTGGTGGACCCAAGTGAATCCACTATGAGCTAGATCTTGTCCACAACTCTATTACTTGATCCCTGTATACTTCTTTTCTAACAAGGAACCATGATAATATTTCAGAGTATCACTTTAGATTTCAGGGTATCACTGTTAACTTGAGAATCTTTGGTTTCAAAACTTTGAGTTCTTCAACACTGTTGTATCTATCCATGTCAATTACCCCTATGGGTTCTAATTGTGAAATAAGAGATTTGCTGGGGTTAGCAATTCAACTTTCTTTGGATCTCTGCTACTTTTATGATTATATACTAGCTTTGGCCTACAGTGTTTTCTGTTTTCAGGCTGCAGAAGATGGAACTAACTTCTGATACACAGAAACCTTTCACAATTAGCTTAAATTGTTGATGAATCAACTTCCATTTTACAGTGTCTTTCTTCACAGTATCAGTTGTCCCAAACCATACTGATTCAATGCTAATATCCTAATAATTATTAATTCCCGGGACTTCTCAAACTATTGATACATTACTTCAGTTGGTTTATTCCCTTTAATAGGTATACCTTTGCATGTCACCCACCTATCATAAGGTTGATTTAAGACATATACTAATTGTTGCCTTAGTATCCATTAATACCTCCTAGTTTCCCTTTCACCCAGTTTTGTCATGGTCTCTCTTATCGCATACACTGTCAATAAATGTGATCTCTAACTAGTTCTCCTGGCCTTACCAAATACTAGTTCCTATGGTAAATACCTTATTGCCACCCTGTAGTTCGATTTTTCTTCAGTGATAGTTATTCCTTGCCCCTCCTAGCCAGATATGACTCGTTATAAATGGTCTGTTGAACACTATGAACAGGGTAGGTGTCCTGGTTATATTCCTCTCTCCCATGCTGATTTGCACCCAGTGCCGATTGGACACAGAGTCTATTGCAACTGCCACACTTTTTACAAAACAGATTCTAGGGCCCCTGCTCCATCAAGCTGCAGACAACTTCTTTGATGACAAAATGTAGATGACAGGTTCCATTCACAAGGAAAGGAATTCTCAGGAAAAGACAATTTAGGACGCACATGGTAGGGGAAGTGAGGAATAGAATCACTTCAAGATTCACTATCAGAGGCAGAAATTATTTTGGTTCGGGGGCAAGAATGAAACCAAGTCAGAAAAGGCAAAACCCTTTTTTATTGAAGAAGGTGCCAAAGCTGAAGGGTGACTTCACTTGCCCTTGATGTCTCAAGATTTCATGCTGCCCTCTGCTATTCTCGGCTTTCTCTAAAAGCATTTCTTCTGGACCACAATTGATCCATACTCTTTGAATTCAGCAGAAGTGATGCACATCTGTTTGAATGTACTCAGAGAACTGAACATGGATGCACCAATCCACCCGGCGTACAACCTGTTAGCGCAAGCCGTGATCTTGACGGTGGCCCCTCTGTTAGCGACTGATTTCAACTCTCTCAACAGACGGTCCTCAAACCCAGTTAACAGAGTGGTGCCCCCTGCCACCACAATCTCCCCAAAAAGGGATTCTTGGATTTCAAGGTCACACTTTATGACACTGTTAATGACCATTTCGTGGACCCCAGGGCTGTGGATTCTCAACACTTCCGGCATAAAGAGGCCCTCAGGCCCACGGTATATCTCATTTCCAACGCGGAGGACCTTGCCGTCTGGCAGTATGTATTGTTTCTTGCCCCTTTTTGGCCTCTTTATTATCTCCTCCACTGGATCCAAGGCCACATAGCCCAGTTTCTCTTTGATATCAACCACCATACCTCTAGTAACTCTGTTGTAGTGACCATAGTTTCTGGCACGGACAAACCGGGAAAGGTATTCTGTGACATCCCTTCCAGCTATGTAGAGCTTGCTGATAGCATGAGGAAGGCAGTGACCCTCGAAGACTGGGACGGTACAAGTGACGCCATCCCCACTCTCCACCACCAGGCCGGTGACATAACCAGCGGCATAGAGTGCTAACACTGCGTCGTTAGACAGATAGAAGGCAGGCACATTGAAGGTCTCAAACATCACCTCTACTATCTTCTCGCGAATCTGTCTTGGATTCAAGGAGGTCTCAGTCATGAGTACAGGGTGGTTACTGGGGTTCACAACTAGTTCACGCTCGAAAAGGTATTTCCATAGGTTCTCCATTTCATCCATTTTCTTGATAAGGCCACGCACAACAGGAAATTGAAGTGTTAGAGTCTCAGGGTGGTACAAGGCATCGTCACCCACAAAGTACTCCTTCTTTAACATTCTTGCTTTACATCTCCATTGTGGATGCCCCACAACAGAGGTGAGGACGTAATGGGGTCTAGTTCCTCCAGAAAAACCTGCTTTGCAGAATTCAGATCCGATATCATAAATTATGGCTGGAGAGTTTAAACTTCGTGGATTCCACATGTTTCCGGTTTCTTCTGCTGAACTTTCTCCAAGTAAGGACTTCTGACACAAGTTCTAGAAGATTAAAAGGCCTCAGGATTCTAAAATCCTCAGGCCATCCCCCAAACAGAACTACCAGGATTTACCCAATTCTCAGGAAAACTCCATCCTCATGGCATGAAACTGTTTTCCTTTCACACACCGCAGGCCCTGCTCTGGCCTTTTCAAGGATGATTGTCTCCCTATGTCATAATGAAGCCAAGTCACAATTATTTCCAGTGAGCATCAGAGAGGTCTTAAAGGTACAGGGCTCTGACCCACCAGCACACACTGCTTGGTGGGACATGAAACAGAAAAAGACAGACCATACTACCTATGGGTAGCTTTCACAAGCCTGTGAACCCAAAGCAGAGAACTAACCTTCGAATCAAGGGAAACAGCTCAACCATGGGCTAGTTACCAGTGACTCTTCTCAGTTGAGCTGTTATTTGGTATATGATAGAAATATACTTCCCTTTGCTTAGGAGCAGCACAAAGTAGCAGACACACAGTCCGGTCAGAGTGGTGCTGTGAGAAACCCAGTTTCCACAGACACTCAGATTTTTCTTTCTTGTTTCCTCCAATATATATATATATATTGGTAAGGAGCTCTGGTAGCGTAGTGGTTACGAATCGAGCTGCGAACCTTAAGGTCAGCGGTTCGAAACTACCAGTCGCTCCGCGGGAGAAAGATGAGGCTTTCTACTCCCGTAAGGATTTACACCCTCGGAAACTCTGTACAGGGTCGCTATGGGTCGGAACCGAC